TATATATATATATATATATATATATACTCGTTGGTCTGCTGGTAATAATACTTGTGCAGTAGTTTCATAAAACGCATAAAGCTGCACTTCCAGACAGAGAATAGCTTTGTGCATTTTCTGAGAATTTAGAATGGCTACCTCGATAGTGATGAAGTTGATGCAGATACCGTTTATTCTCTATTTTTGTTTTGTTGAACAAGCGCTTTTCAGGTTCTTCCGGTGTTGCTTGGTTCGGAACGTGGAAGCTCTCAGTTTCCAACGCTGCTTTCAAAAATGAACGAACAACATGGCATAAGAGTATCCGCAAATCGGCATCGTCTTGTTTCCCTACAAAATGTGCTCCGATTCTTATTCGAAATAGCTTTTTCGCCACCAACCTCTGCTCACGTATGTTATTCGACGCGGTTTTTGAGTTTTGTTCTTCTGATAGCTAATCTTCTACGATACTTTTTATCAGGATTACAAAGGTCGCTTGTCTAGTAAAGATGCTGTGGAAACGCATCCGTAAGCCGGATAATGCTTACCAGTCCATTCGGGTTGGTGCCTCTGCCTGTTCCACCTCATAGGAAGACAATCAGTCACAAGTACAAATGCAGGCGAATTTTGCTGGTTATCAGCGGGGCGAAGCGGATTTTTGTGTTTTTGTTGTCATAACGCCGCTAAATATGACAGAGAATCGTACCATTTGTATGGTCACAGTATGAAATTCAGTGCATGCTTTGTTCCTTCGCTCTCTTCAGCACATTCGTCGTTCCCTAAATCTGCTTTCGTCAGCCACCAAGTCTTTCATCAGTGCGTAACTTTTTTTAAATCAGCGGGCTGAGTTGTAGTGCCTTAGGAGTTCCTGGCAAATTCTACCAGGTGTCAGGGCCTTAAAAAAAATGGAAAGTTACGAATGGAGGTGCTTATTCAACTCGGTTATTGAAAAGGTTGTGTTGTAAATCCCCTTTTATTTTCAGGGCGATAGCAGGGCACGATTGAAAACTGTAGCACACTCACTGATTGTTGCAATTGCGCGAGAGTTAGTTACACCTAAGGATGCTTTTGGCGATGGACCACCAGTATTGCAAACACCAAACAGGTCACTTTTTGCTTTTTGTTTGAATTTAGATTTATAGAATTGTTTTGAAAAGTATCATTACGATGAACTTTTATGAATGGACGCATTATTATTCGTCCACAAAGCGGATTCGTATTTCTGAAAAATACGATTCTAGAGAGTTTAGTACATATCCAAAGGATGACGGCCGTGCCGGAGGCGAATGAGAGTTTACCAGCAAGTGATCTGAAAGATCACACAAGTGATGGCCGGAACAAAGCACATTTAGGATATTTCTCTGGGAAAATAGGCAAATAAAGTGAAAAAATAGATGCAAGACATTCATCAGTCCGGAAGCTATGTAATGCGGCTTCGGCAAGAGCAATCTCAGAAAGGTTGCCAGCTGATTCGATGACGTAAAGCTTGCTGCGGTGAAATTGCGTTTTCTCTCTGAATGATGAAGGTTTTTTTTTAAGATTTCGTCGTACAGTTACTCATGCAAATTGGGATGTCAGCAGTGGCGCTGCAGATGCAATTGCGCTGAGTGTAACTGCGCCTGGAATTGCGTTACATGGTGTTGGTGTGTACGGTACTCATCACGATTATGAACAGAAATTTATTTGCGAGGTACCTCTTTCCAGAATGATGTCCCGATTCTTAAAAATATGCTTTGTGTAAAAACATTTAATAACACTCATAAAACATCCAACAAAAGACTGAGGAGAGCGATTCTATATTGACGGTAAAATACTCCATATATTTATATTCACAGAAGTCGCAAATCTCACTGCTGACTAGCACTGTAGAATTTGCCAAGTGAGCATGCAAGCACTGTGGAAGAAGTGGCATTCCAATTCCTTCTAGAAACAAAAAGTTGAAGAAGAGCGCTTGTTTCCTCCAGTTTGAATTGAAACTCGAAATTCGACCTGCTGAACTTGTGCTCGAATTTATTTCTCTGCGACAAGCAGTAGATGGGGGTAAAAAGTTGAGTTTTAAACTAAGCTGAAGGAACATAGCAGTACAAATAGCCTTTAGTAAGGTGAGGAATTTCTTTTCCAGCTATAACGTAGCATCGATTGTGAAAGCAACACTGTTCAATTTTACCACCCATTTCTTTTGTATAAAATTAAAACAACGGATATCGCCCATGCTGAAAAGCAGTGGCCAAAGAGCCATGGAACGATTCACGATAGTCAACCGCTGCCGGGACTATCGTTGGTTCACTTATCCGCGAGTCGCTCACTGCAGCAAGATGATGGCAATTTCACCTGTTTTATATGTTACAGCATCAATTTTTCGTCGAAACAACTGAGCCGCTCTTTCATCACTGGCAGACTCGAATCAGCAACTTGTATTTAGAACTGTATGCCACTACAATAAGTCCACTTGTGTTCTTTACTATAACAGATTTAATTTAACAAATCTAGTAATAACTGAAATGGAAATTTTAGGTTTTAATAAATCGTGGGGATTCAGCTCACGAAAGATGGGATGTTTTGGAGAGAGTTATTGGTACATTAGCGAATAAATTCGAATCGTGCCAGCGTGAAATTGCAATGTTACGACTAACGAAAGCTGTCAAATTGCAGCCCATGTGCACGTATGCAATCCGACTTCAAATCAATGGGGGAAAAACATTCTGCGGTGAAGGTTCGCTTTTTTACTCGCAGAAAAGATGGTTCCATTTTGATGCATTCTATTCGTGGATTAGAAAAAAGAAAAAAAAATTCAGTGTTAATTACCACATTCTTATACTGTGTTCAACCGAAGGGAAACAGCTTTTTTCTGCAATGCATTTTTACGGGTGAAATTCTAAAATTTAAGTGATCGAATTACTTTTGTTAGATGGTTAGGGTCAGTCCGTTTTGATGATCTAGATTCATAGTGCGCGCTATTTTACAGTAGCAGCGAAGCCTTTGCAGCTAGTGAAATGTACAATGAGCTATACTTTTCCAGGCGGTGTTAGTAGTGTACGTTTGGGTAATGGGTCTAGGATGCATTTTGAACCGTGCAGCCTGAGCGTAAATGGTACTTCACTGGCTCGCGGACAAATACCGTTCGTACTGTACTCTGTACAAGATGATGAAAATGATGCTATCCAACAGCTTGCTGATACAGAACAAGTAAGTTAGTTCTGCTATTTTAGCATGAATGGAAGTTTATATGATTAGCATATAACAGAATTCGGTCACCTGTATGCTGTTTGCCCCTTTAAGTTCAACTGGATCAAGCACGCATACTCACTTTTCATTTTTTTGGTCACTTTGTTCTATGCTATAAACGAATAAGGTGGAAAAGTTAGTGGTATCAAAATTTCTTGGAATAATTTAACCCAGGAAAACTTCGCGTTGTTATTTTAGCGCAACATTTGACATGCAGTTGAAATTTATTGTTAAAAGACTGAGCCTATTACGTAACAGAAAACACCATAAATGAAAAAAATTATCTAGGAACATAAAAACCGGAAAAACAAAAAACCCATTGTTTTTACTTTCCACGGAGGCACAGACACTTGGAAGTAACCCAAATGGTAACAAATTTTAAATGCGACCAGCGGCTAATGAAGCTGCCGATGGCTGTCCTTTTTGAGGGTTGTGTGTAAGCAAACTGACTGCGGTTTTGACTCAGTGACGTATGCCAGTATCAATTTATTCCGAAAAAAATGAACAAATCGCAAAAGGATTATTTTTTCCGCTGGCTGAGCCGAATTCTCAATCTTCAACATGAGAGCAGCTTACTGGCCATCACACCACACTGATTCGCATAAAAATCTAAAAATATCGAAATTTTATTTCACAAAGAAATATAATTTACTGAAAACACTCATCCGAAAAGTATCGTGGAGATACTGGTGTAACACGTGAAAGAATGATCTAAAGTTGAGATATAGTTCACTTCTTTTCCAAATTATATGCCTAAAATTTAATTGTTTTTGAGTTAGCGAATTGGTTTATGCTCTTAATCCGAATGTTATCGTCGAAAATATCCGACTTGTTAGCGGCTGGCAGCCTTTCATCCGAAGAGCGTTCACTGTGCTCAGGTATTTCAGGTGAGTGAAAGTGAGATTAGTTTAAATCATTATTTTAAGCTGCATTAACCTTTTTATGAGGGCGCATGCAGTAACTGCCACAAACCTCAAAATTTAAAAATATTTGAGATTTTCTTCTAATAAACATTCATTCAAGGTTTCATAGCAGTATTCTTGGAAGCCAACCCACAACGTGCACTAGATGTGGTTGCAACACTGGATGATCTGTTGCCAATGGTTTCATCAGCAAACGGTGTAAGACTCTCGGAAGAACGGGAACGCGTACTTGCTAAGTATTTATCACCGAAATATACTTTTATGATCAGTTACACTTTTTAAAGCTTGATGTTTTTCTCTGTGATGAGCAAATTCTTATTTTCACTATTCTTCTCGTCGAGACAGAATCTGATTTACAAAAGGGACAAAAAAAAAAATAAAATTTTTTCAACTTTATGTGGTATTCCATCCAGAAATCTTAGGCCCCGAAGCAAAAACGGAGCAATTTTCAAGGAAAACGTGGGTCCGCTTTTCACACAAATGAAGCAGAAATTTGAAATCACTCGTATCTTTCTGTCTCTTACTTCTTTTTCGTAATCTTGATTAGGACAAGCTTCAAAGCCACTGCTTTGGGGATTTTAGTTTGCTGCATATGCTACGCAAAGGATCTGAAGCCAGTTATTACCGTAACGCTCGCCTCTACGGATGCATCCGTTAAGTGGGAGGTCCTTTAAAAAACAACCAATGCAAATGAGAGTTGTGGAGTTAAAAAGACTCGCAACCAATAAAATTATCACTGCATGATCGATCGGCAAATAATACCGACCCATAACAATGCAAATCCTATCACTTTTTGATTATGAGGGAATTCGAAGCTTAGTGCGTGACATTTACACAAGTAAGCTTGGATCGTAGAGCAGTTGGGATAATAGTGGAGAGGAGAGAGAATATATTGGCCTCATTCCTTCCTTTTTTCCAACAACTTTACTTCCAAACTTGCAAGACGAACTATTTAGGAACTGCCCTAGCAGTGCTACGCATTTGTTGCATTTTAACAGAATTGGTCCTTAAAACGCAGGGATGCAACAACACGTGGAGCATCATCACGGACCATTTTTATAGGTCTGGGCAAAACATTGGGCCGTTGCGCAGCATGCAGACAGTCATCGAATCACCTCATCCATATGCACCATGTGCGATTCATTCACAGGTAATCTTTTTATGCTTGTGTAAAAGGCAGGCAGACTTTTAATTGTGCAAACGCTATCATGCTAGTTCTGTCGCTAAATGCTACCGCTTTGCCTGCATTTAGTTCCTGTCTCGTAATCTCTAGATTAACGGTGGCGTATGTTGTAACATTTTGGTATTTGAATTTTTTCGCAATAAGAATATTTCTTTTTTTTTTTTTTTTTTGAATCTGTTTTTGTTTCAGATTGTTGAATTTGCGAAGGAAGTGAATTTTATGTCGTTACAATTTAGCGACGTCTGTTCAACTGGTCAAGCCGATGATGTACTTCGGGTGTATGTTCAGGTTGATTCGGAATGCTATGTGCCAATTGCAAAGTCAGTAATTCATTATACAGCATTCATTATTCTGCAATTCCCTGCTTTCTCGTTGCAGTCCGTTGTTTGTATTTATCTTTTACAATTAATTCGATTGTCCACTAACCATGACAATGATCTGTAATAAGGGTGCGGCATGAGTACCTCTAACTGATGTTAATTTCGGCTGACCTTTCTAGTAGTGCATGCTAAAGCTGAAATCTCTCTCTCTTTTTTTTTTGATTTTTAAGCATTTCATAACAGGAGAAATACACGGTCGCTTGGCGCATCTCGTGAAAGCTGAGATGCAAAAATT